GAGACTCGAAATACTGTAAACTTTCCCTCTACAAGGGCTATAAGGCAAGCAAAGGTTTTAGAGGCACAGGTGAGTAGTAGCTATATTATTATACAGTGGTGGATCCAGACCATCAGATAAGGGGGGGGCACCCGGTCATCCAGACCCTGAGATAAAGAAGGGGCACTCTCCAAAAAAATTTTTTCGGCCCTTTGGGCGCAGCCTCAGTTTGGTCTAAAAATAGGAGGGGGGCCCAGGCCTCTCAGGCTCCTCCCCTAGATCCGCCACTGTTATATACAAAGTGGGCCGTTGACCATAGCCCTACTCCAATTTCCCAAAATGTCTGTTGCGTAGTTTGTTGGCACAAGCAAACCTCTTTGAGATCTTAACAGTGTCCATAGAATCCGCAATTGACAGTTGGCCAGGTATGCATAAGTAGGCAGTTGTTCAAACAAAGGCTAAAACAATCCTGCCTCATGGTGCTTCTTGAGTCGTTGGAGGGTAGAAAACGTGCGCCCTGGATGCTACAACTGGTGTTCAATAAAATCTTAACATTTCCACTTGACCAATTTTGGGTTGAGAAGCATGGCTGCGGTGGTGGTAGGGAAGGGGGTAGGGGCAACCCCCCTCTGCTATTTACATTAAAGGCAATTCCCTTTCAAGCAAACAGCTATGACTGTGGCTGTGTTTGTCTGCATGGTAAGCATATTTTGCAAAGTATTGGCACAATTTGTAATAGCAATGAAGGGAAGGTCCCGAAGGTGCCCGCTTAATACAGGTTCCACTGTAATTGATACAATAATAATGTAATAGTAATGATTATAATGATTATAATTTACATTGTTAGACAAAGAAATATTTTTAAACTTTCAGTATTCTGCACATCACTCATGTTCTTAAACTACTGTTGTAAATGGTAGCATTAACATGTATGACATTTAGTTTGCAGAGAAGCTGAGCAGGGGAAAAAATCCCAATTTCCATCAGGTACTGTACAGAACCTCTGTTAACCGACACCCCCTATAAGCTTACATGCACCTCTTACTAACAGACACTAATCTGGGTTCACAGCAATTAATTTCTATGTGAAAAATCTGCATTAATCCAAACTATTGTAAGTAAAGACATCTTTTCTAGGTAACAAATATCCATATAGATCGGCGAATCAGACCTAAAATTCTTTGCAGAATAGTTGCCCCCATGATAGATCATAGCTATAGCAAATACTCCTCTCTCTATGGCAGTGGCGGATCTAGGGGAGGTGCCTGGGGGGCTCGGGCCCCCCCTTTTTTTTAGACCAATCTGAGGACCAAAGGGCCAAAAAAATTCTTTTTGGACACCCCCCATCTCAGGGTCTGGATGACTTGGGCCCCCCTTATCTGAAGGTCTGGATCCGCCACTGTAGGGGGCACTTTGGTTGAACAGATGCCTTTCACAAGCAGCATAATTCCGCAGTAATTTGGTCAACACTTTGATACTGAATAAGGAAACAAATTAATATATAGAGGGAGAAAGGAGGATCAAGAGTGCATCAAAAATCGACCCACTGGTCAAATCACACAGCCAATACTGCACAAGAAAACTGAAGGGAAGTTTAATGATGATCAAACAAGGAAAACAATCTTACTGTTGAATATTTACTTTTCCATGTTTGTTTTTGCTTCATGAAATTAAATAGCATCTGCTCTACTTGATCGAATGACAGAGCATTTTCTTTTTTTCAAGAATGACATGCCTTCACTATGAAAGAAGTTGAGGGAACAATAATTACAGCAGAAGAGGCTTTAGGGTACACTTATAAACTAATATTCAAGCAAGACCTCAAAGAAATCAGGGAGTGGGGATTATTTACAGCAAGGGATCGAGGGCTAATGCAGATGGGAAGATACAATTTCCAAATTCTTTGTACCCTCCCCTTTCAGTTTTTACAGGACATATTTTTGACAAAACAACTTGAAGCCAAGTCAAAACTCTGAAGGGTTACTTAAGTTGAATTAAAATATTGATTCCACCGTTCATTCATTGATGTACTGTTAAAGAAACGTATTTAAAAAATCTTGAACAAACCCATTGACCTGATAGGCAACCTTTCCCAAGAAATAACTTGCAGTTGAAGACTTCATAGTATCAATGGCTTCGAACCAAAATGCACGGTTTAAGCACCTTAATTACAAAGCATAAAATAAGTAAGCCTAAATAAATAAATCTGACAGAATTTATGTAAACATGGCTTCAGTGAGTGTCTACAGCTACTATGCTAAGAGTGTCCTTGGTACCAAGACTTTGATCCTCCCCACCCAGGACAATGGGTGACTGTCTGTGCCTCCCACTGAGCTCTGCAATTATCAACAACAACAAAACTTTATTAATAAACAAATAAACTTACAGAAGTATTGCCCGCAGCTAGCAAGGCTATTCAAGGCAGGACAATGCGTGCAAAATGCAAAAAATTAATAGAGACTAAGGCTATTAACGTTATCATTCTCAGCAGAGGCCTGATTCAGCTCAGTGGCTAGGGCAA